GTCTATGCTCATCATTTGAAAAACCACTAAGACTGAGTAAGTCATAAAATGCAGCCTTATTATTATCTAGGTGAACCCAGCTTCAGATTGATTTTTTTCTCTCCCAACATTTTCCTCAACATTTGCACCTGAGTCAGTCCTATTCTGAGTGCCCAATTCAGCCCATTCAACATTTTTGTCAACATTGCATCAAACAACAAGCCATCATCATCATCATCACCATCACCATATTCAATATCTTCATACTTCTCAAGGTTAGTGCTATCAACGCTTGAATTATTGTATTCATTGTCCCTCATCTTTTGATGTTCATCTCCATGCATCATAGCCTCAAACTCATCCTCAAAACCAGTCCCCTTTAAATCAACTTCAACCCCACCTCCCACATTCTCTTCATCAACAGCAGCCCCTTGCAAATTATCCACTCCAACCTCACTTTGATCATATCTCATTCCATCACCTAACACAGTAACTTGCAATTTTTTTTTTTTTTTCTCTTTCATCAATTTCTTCAATCACAAGTTTAGACTGACTACTACCAACATCAAACTTAATTTTAGTTTGCTCATCAAGTTCTGGATGATGTTCTAGATAAATTTCAATAACCCTATTAAACTTATTCATACACTTCAACATGTCTACTACATCTTTGTCATTCCACAATGGCCTTAATCCATGATTTAAATCCATACCAGTCACTTTGGGTGTGTTTGGTTTGTGTTTTGAAATATATTTTTGGAAGAAAATTTCCAAAAACATGTTTGGTTACAAATTTTTTCAAAAATATTTCAAAATTACTTCTCCCTCTATTATACATCAATCAATCACTTTTTCTCTCTCCTCTCTCCTTCTCAATCACTTTCTTTTTCACACATATCTACTCAATTACAACAAAATATCAAATCATCCCAAACTCTTAAATTCCAAAACTATTTTCAAAATATACAACCAAACAAACCAAAAAAAATACTAAACTCTCTCTCCAAATTTTTTTTTTTTTTT